TACTTCCTCCGTTCCAAAATAAACGCCCGACTTGGGGGAGGGTTGACATGTCGACTAATAGTATTTCAAAGACAATTTCAAAATGAAATGTCGTCTGTCTCGAGTTGATTTTGACGTCGCTGATTGGATATTTCGAAAGAGCGCGCCGCGAGCTCTGTTCTGGTGTAGTTTGAGAGGGATCTGTGCCCCCACAACGAGTCATTCTTAGTCCTAAGTATTGCATACTATAAACAAGATAAAATATACATTCCCACGTGACAATCACTCTCACTTCGATGGGCGCGAAAAACCTCACCGACGTCGAGCGGGAGGCCGTCCTGCGAGAAGTCTTCCTCAAGAGCAATGGTAGTTTTATGACGCGTTTACCTAACGGATTTTGTGGCTATCTGGCAACGAAATATGGTTGTGTCGAGTCAACCATTCGCAGAGTGCTAGCTCGGGCCAAGAAACAAGGGGTGGCCGACGGCAACATGTCCGCTTCCGTTGCAAGCAAGAAGAAAGGGCGTGTTGGACGGAAAAAGGCATACACTACCGAGCAAGTAAAGACCAAATTGTTGGAAGTTCCTTTGGAGGATCGCACATCGTTGCGATCTATTGCTGAAAAGACAGGTAAAATATTTCACGAACATCACAACTCATATTGTCGTAGGAATCAAGTTGGCCACGCTCCATAGATACTTGCGGCTTGGCATGTTTCGCGCGCACTCAAGTTCCATCAGGCCAATGCTTACGGACGCCAACAAGTACGCACGCTTGAAATACGCTGCCAACAAGGTTGGCCCAGACATGATGATGGATGCGATGCTGGACTGCGTTCACCTCGACGAAAAATGGTTCTATATTACGCGGGAGACACGTAAATTCTACCTTGTTCCTGGTGAAAAGGGTCCCGATCGAAAGTGCAAGAACAAGCGGTTTATTACGAAGGTTATGTTTCTTAGCGCGGTTGCCCGTCCACGCTACGTGGATGAGACAGACCAGTGGTGGGATGGCAAGATAGGGACGTGGCCGTTCACGGCGGTCGTACCTGCCATGCGCACAAGTGTCAATCGGGTGGCCGGCTCCCTTGAAACCAAATCGATCAACGTCACGAAAGATGTCTATCGTTCGTTTCTTGTCGACCGTGTGCTCCCTGCCATCGTCTCCAAGTGGCCGGGTCCGCCTTCCGTAAGGTTACAACATGACAATGCCCGCGCCCACGTTACCTCTTGCGATGCCGCTCTCTGCCGTGTGTTTGATTCTTACGCCGTCCAAGGGTGGCAATTCGAGTTGGTGGCGCAGCCTCCAAACTCGCCCGACACTAATGTCCTCGATCTTGGGTTTTTTGCCGCGATTCAGTCTCTACAGCACCGTAAGTCAGCTCGTACAATTGATCAACTTGTTTCGAACGTCGTTCGTGCCTTCGACGAGTACCCACTGGAGGGTCTTGAACGGACGTTCTTGACGCTTCAGGCGTGCTTGATTGAGGTCCTACGTGACGGAGGTGACAACACCTTCAAGATCCCGCATCAGTCGAAGGACAAGTTGGCTCGAAAGGGGCGCTTACCGTTGAACGCAACATGTCCGATGGACGTGTACGAGACCGCGAAGCTGAAGCTGCGATCTTCTGACGCGGCGGCCATGGAACGCAAGATGGCAGACGAAGTGTGCGAAGCACGGGAAGTTGTTGAGCTGGCCCGAATCTTCGAGTCCTTGAATTTGGAAGTCGACGATCTGGCCAACACACTCAGTGATCTAGGCATAGAACCGATTTGTATTGAT